CTCCGCGGAAAGGAAGCTTCCTTATTTCGAGGGGTGCACTTGCCCACAGGTGTTGGCACCTGGAGGAAGAAAAGGCACATCCATGCTAAAAGGAGCTTGCTGTGGCGTTTGCAGATAATTCCGGAGGACCAGTAGGTGTCGGGGCAGCACATGACCTCCTTCGGGTGCTTAGAACCAAGTCTCCAAGTAAGTTTCTCTCGGAGCCATCACTTCTGACTGTAAGCTGTATTTGAGAAACCTTTTGGCTGAGTTTACGTATGACCTAACAGTTAGTCACCAACCAAAGCAAGATACAGACAGACTTACTAAGAGAAATGTGTCAGCTTTTAAACAACTGTATTGTAGAACCGGCGTGCTACAGAAATAAAAATAAGCATGCTAACCAGGAAGGTGTAGGGCCCTGGCAACATTTTTTTCTCACATTTTGAAATACCATATACATATACATGATTATTTAAGTAGAACTACTACTGTTCACTCTTACTCGTTTCTACAACCTTTTTTGTTTTTTTCATTTAAAAATCATTGATTGTTATAGTTTAAACCCAGGGTTGGTCTCTAAAGTGACATTGTTGGTCTCATTACAGCCTCTAGTGGACAGTTAAAATCAGTTTCCTGAAAAGGCTCTTCCTGGTGGTGTGTTCCTTGACAAGCATTACCAAGGTGAAGGTTAATACCTCAGGCATAACCGGGTAATATCTCTTCCCCCCACTTTGCAGAGCTGGCTTCTGAAAGGAGCAGCAGCTGTTGGCTCTGCGTAGAAAAGACGTATGCTTTGTGCTGCAGGTATTATTATTACCGGCCTGTGAATAAACAGAGAGCTTCTGCTATTCATTTCCATTTCAGACAGTTTTCATAAAAACTGAACTCATCTAAAATATTTTTATAACAGAAAATATTGGTTGCCATGTTTTTGGCTTAACTGAGATGTTTTTATTCCAATTCCTAATCTGCAGACTGTCCAATCCACCTCCACTCTATTTTTAGACATCTTACATTTAGAGAATTTCAGTAAAAAGGAGCTAATATTTTAATTATTGCATTGGCAGAAGCAGTTAATTTAAGTTATTTTAAAAACCTTAAACAAGTTAAAACACATAATTCAGATTAGAGTTAGTCAATTAATTTAAATATTCCTTCAAGGAAGATAAATATGTATATTATCCAAGCAGTGAGAATAATTAATAAGAAATGTATCATTTACTTTCTTAGCCATTAATGTTGAAGCCATAAACTGCCATTAAAATCTGTAACTATTTCTTCCTACAAGATCCAACCAACATAAACATATAATACTCATGATACACTTTCATTACCTTTAGCACTGAATGTTTTCTTTTCAAATGGCAAAATAGTAAATGTACAATCACAAATAACTGGTACTGATTACTTAAAAGCATCACTCTCTCTGCCGGGCCGGGCTGGCTTAGCAGTTGAGCATCCTCCTAGGATCCAGGAGACTGAGGTTCGATTCCAGGTCAGGGCGCTTGCGTGGATTACAGGCTCCATTCCCCGTTGGGGGCATTCAGGAGGCAGCCGATCAATGATGACTCTCTCATCATTGATGTTCCTGTCTCTCTCTCTCCCTGTCCCTTCCTCTCTCTAAAATTAATAAAGATATATTTAAAATAAAATAAAAACTCAGTGAAAGAAGAGCAGAGATTTCTAGAAGCCAGTAGGCAAATATGTAGTACTGTGATCTTATTCATAAACCTGATACTATATTCATACAAGCATAAGTCAGACTTTGGGATAAAGGAAACTGAGAAACAAGGCCTGCTGAGCCTTACTCCTAATTTGTGTTCTGCATTAATTAAACACCATGGATGATCATTTCATCCCTGATGTCTATTTCACTGTTTCGGTAGTATCCATTTTTGAAGGCTGAAAATGGACTATCAAGTATATATTATATCATTACACCTTGCTTCCGAAAGTGTCTTCAAAACAGCAGCAGCAATTGGGAGCCTTTTAGACAGTCTGAACATTGCACCCCAAACCTATTGAATCAGAACCTGCCTTTTAACCAGCCCCTGCGTGATTCCTAAGCACATAAGTGAAAGAATGCCATCTAAACTACAAGGTCTCTGTCTACGGGGAATTTGGCCACAGATGCAGGACTTAATTCCTCTATTTACTCCTTTTTTATTCCCTCTTTTATTAATTTGTACTTTTTAATGAAAAATTACTACATTTTATGCTTTGGATAAATAGTACTGCATTTCAGAAGGGCTGTGATTTATGCACAAATCTGCACCAACATTACCAAGAGAACACTCTGAGGAATGCACTGGGGTCTTGAATGTGAAGGTTTTCTTCACGGCAGCAGAGGGAGCACAAGAGTACTTAATGAAACAAGTGTACAGGCCATTCAAGTCATAAGGGATATTAAATTGTAGTCTATGTTTTCATTGGAAGTAGCCTCTTATATAGTTCAAAAACAAGCGAACACAAATAGCTCACCAGGTTATAGCAACTAACTATCAGATAGATTGGAAGTTAAGTAGAATATAGATGTACTCATTTGGAGTTTCAGGCTTGAATTCTTAAAAGAAAGTGGACCTCAAAAGTCATACTTGGAAAAGATGCCTTAGCTTTTCTCCAGTCAAAAATAAAAATCACATAATTATGTCACAATATATGTAAATCTAACCATTGTGCTGTATGCCTTAAACTTATAGTGATGTATGTCAATTATTTCTCAATAAAATTAGAAAAAAAATAAAGATAACATACAGAATAAGGCCACTCTAAGAGTAACTCCTACTTATTTAAAATGTTGGGGTCAATTAACCAAACACTATGTCTGATAAATTTATTTCACTTGGATATAAATATGTTGGTGAAGGAATGCACTTCTCACCATGTTTATTTTCACAGTAATTTTAGGGTTTTATCCTTAATGTTTGCAGTGATGAGGACTTACGTTTCAGTTATGTCTATGTAGCATTTTACACTTTTCATAGCCTTCTATATGACATCTTCAAACACTCCTATGAGGTGGATAAGACATGGGAAAGCCAAGCCTCAAAAAAGCTTTGGAATTGGTTTGTGCTTTCACAGCACTGTCATTTAATTGACGTAACAACCCAATGAGGTGTTCAGAGAGGAGGAAAATCCTAGAGGTTTAAGATCTGGCAGCATGTTCTCTACAGCTTTAAAGGTTTTTCAAAGTACTAGATAGTGAATATTTAATAAGTGAATATTTAAATAAGAGACTTATGAATAGAGACTATGTCTTAATTCTGGACTTGCTCTTTACATATTTATCATGTAACCAACAGCCTTTATTCCTCACTTATTACCAGCATTTATTGTGCATCTACAGTAACTAGGCCTTGAGACTATAAAGATGAGTGAGACATCTTTGTCTGCAAGGAATTCACAGCAAAACAAATCTTATCTTTTGAGAACTGTTCCTTTTTACCAACTGTAAAGCTTCACAGTTGCCTGATTCCCAGCACCTCATTATCTCAGTCAGACTTCCGAATAGGAGGAACAAATACTACAATCATTAAAGATTTGGGAGGTGGGAAGGCAATTATCTGAATCATCTTTTTGACTCCTCAGCAAAATTTGACTTACAAACTAATATCAATATTTCAAATTTATAAAACAAACAAAATGTAAAGCTATATATAACATGTATTTTATCTGAATGCCTTCCCGATAGAAAAAAAAGTCACATGACTAAATTTGAGTGGCAAACACTTATTTATCTCTATCTTTTAAAAAAATTGTTAAAAAGAATTTCCTCCTACGTGCAAGTAGGATTTGCCAAGTTTCTGTCTAGAGCAATTTGTTATGGCTGTGTCATAAATCCCGGAAAGTTTGAATTTTTAATGGAAACACTGACAGACCTTTAACCACACTAATAAGGAGGGTGTTATCCTACACATGTCATTTAAAAATGTGAGCAAATCATAGCATGCTTGCAAAACAAGTATACTTTCCTTAGACTGCACTCCGAATAAAGCTGGGGAGACTAAAAACAAAAGTGAGAAGCACTCACACAATAGACTCTGAGGTCAGCTCACCACACCCAAACTGAAGTAGCTGGGCTCTGTGCATGGCACAGGGGCCCTTAAAGGATGTGTTTCTGAATCATCTTTCTTGACCTTCCACCAAACTGTAGCAGGACAGGCTTCTGGGTAATGGAAATTACATCACCAATGGTCAAGAGTGGAATTAAAATCTTTGTATTTAAACATCTGCCAACAGTTTATGATTTAACAGTCCACATTGGGCAATTTTAAATAAGAGTCTGTCTACAATTAAAAACAAAAACAAGCACCTTAATATAGGTCTGCCCTATCCACTATGGCTATTAAGCACTTGAAATGTGATTAGTCCACACTGAGATGTGTTGTAAGTGAAAAACATACTTCACATTTTAAAATATTTAGGGCATACACACACACATACACCTATCTACATATGTATATACACATGTATATATATATATCTCAATAACTTATATTGATTAAATGTTGANAAACATACTTCACATTTTAAAATATTTAGGGCATACACACACACATACACATATCTACATTATATATATATCTCAATAACTTATATTGATTAAATGTTGGAATGAAAATATTCTGCCTATATTAGGTTAAATAAAATATATTGTTAAAATTAATTGTACCTGTTTCTTTTTATGTCTTGATGTGGTTGCTATAAAATTTAACCTTTCATGTGTGGAAGGGTTGCATATTATATTTCTAATGGACACCGGGGCCGGGGAGATGCA